GCAGTGTTGCAAAAATCTTCAGGGAGGTAGGCGCTTGTTCTGAACTATTCCTACCTGGCCTGTTCTCGCTCCTACTTTCAACCCCACTTCATTCACACCCTGGCTCCCACCCCATCCGCACCCAACCCCAACCCTGTGCCCCCTCTAACTTTGCCATACCCATCAATATTGTCTCCCCAAGGACACAAATTAGTCACAGCTATAACTCCACACTTGACTCTTTATGAACAGCAGCATACACACCAACTTATGTACTCCTTCCAAAAGATGGAGAAGATCGAAACCTTTCAACCCTCTCCCCATTTCAAAAGGAAACTGAGGACCTAGGTGTGAGAGTCCCAGGCCAGCCAGTGCTCTGCTGAGTCTCATGAGAAGTATGGCCCAGCAGCACCCACAGAGCTTCAAATGTTAACAAAGACCACCAGGCCTGTCCACTGAACCCCCAGTTTGCCCTTGAGCTCCTTCCCACCTCAGGGGGGTGGTGTTTCCTGCTGATTTATTGCCACTGGACTGTCAGTCAAGTTGGGCTGACCTGACACATACTTGTTTTGATTGACTTCCCTTCCTTGGCTTCCAGAATTACAAGTCATTACTATTGCCATGGCTGTCATATTAATAATGGCTTGTGTCTGCTCAGCTCTCAGAACTTAGCAAGCACTAATCCATCCATCAGCTTATCCAAGCCTTGAGAACCCTGAAGAGGCATTTCGCAGACAAGGGCACAGAGGATCAGAGAAGGCAACCGACTGGCCCAAGTCATCCAAAGAGGCCTCCCTGGAGAGAGAATTTAATCTCCCCCCGAGAGAAGCAGTCCACTTTCTAAGGCAATGGGTCAAGATGATGAGGCTCTGTGTGTCCCTGCCAGGAGTTGCTTATCTTTTAGACTACAGAGGAGGACACTTGAGTCTACGGGAATTCTTGCTGGGTCAGGATGAAGTGTCCAGTGCCTAAAAACTGTCAGGTGACTAAACTCATGCCATCCCTGTGCCACTGCCAAAGGAAGCTGCAGCTTCTAGAACAGTGCAGAGGCAGTGGGACTCAGGGGACAAACAGCTGCTGTTGGGGCAATGGAACTTGGAATAAATGGTTTCCCTGAGGCTAGGTGGGTTAAGCAGCCTCAGAGAGCATACACAGGTGGCTAAATGTGCTGAAGGCATGAAGGGCCAGGCTGAGTCAAGGGGCATGAGGCACAGTCCCTCCTGGACCCTCTTGGACCCAGCTGGCCTGTAGACAGTGCTTCTCATGTGTTTGGCTACATCATTAGCTGTATCTCATCAAGATAGAGAGAACCAGAAAGGGGGGAAGCCCTGATTCTTGGAAGGATAAAGGCCGTTTCTCCTCTGCCAGCCAGGGAAAGAAGCCCAAGGAAGGTAGACAGCAGCTCCTGTGTTCACTGCACTCAACAGCCTCAGTCTCCTAATCTGGAGAAGGGGATGTTGACAATGAGCTTTGTGTTCCTTCTCATGCTGACCTCAGTACAATGGATCAGTCTTTGATATCCTTGGCTCACAGCATACCTCCTGCTATGGGTAGACTTGGGAGTCGGGATGGCCCTGAGCAAATCACCTCTCTGAGCAGCGGTGTCCTCACAGGTGAAATAAGCATGACATTGCCTTCTGTGGACAGAGCTGATGAGTCAGACATAGAGCAGATCTGCACAGTGGGGCACATCTGAGGCTGGGAAGGCCCAGGCTCAGTAGTGGCTTTCACTTTCTGCCCGTCTGGCCAAAGGCTCATTTATAGATATCCGCTCCTTGACTGGCAGGCCAGAGGGAAGTGGGAGCAAAGGTGCTGAGGGTGCAGTTTGGAACCTTTCTGGGGAAGGAGTCTCTGGTCTCTCTTCCCCTTCTTGTCTCCCCATCTTCAAAGCAAAGTCCTAGTGACCCTCAGTACCATCCTGGAGGTTGGTGGTTTGACACCATGGTCACTTAACAGATGGTTAAGACTGAGTCCTAAAGGACAGAATTTGTCCAATGTCCCACAGCAGGGTTGTGACAAGAGCTGGGAACAGATTCAAGCTCTGTAATCTATCTAGATCCTAGCATCCTTTTTTTGTACCCCAAAGCAGATGGTTCCATAAGATGAAGTCTCCTATTGTGCCAGGTTTACAGAAAGGCTGGTCTCTACATGGGTTACTCAGAAAGAAGGGCTTGGGTTCTGCCAATAGTACAAGGTTTTACAACAGCATCAGGCTTGGCATGAGGCACAGGGCTGTGCAAACGTCATGGACCCTGGGAGCTACAGAGTTTTGCAAGCCATGCCAACAGCAGGAGACTCTAAAAAAGGCATCAAGTTTTGCAAACATAGGAATCCACAGATGGTGTTGGGATCCGCACATAGGCGGGGCGGTGCAAAATGTGCAAGTTGCAGCAAGCATCACATGTCTTCAGGTAGGCTAAGCCAGAGTTCAAGGCACTATTCTCAAGCCTTAAGCCTGGGTCTCCCAAAGCTGGACCTCAATGAACTATTTAGCCCAGGGTCAGGTCTGAGGGCCTGTTATCTTGTTTCATAGGCTCCTGACAGTCCCTGACCTTTGTTCCAATTCTTCATCTCCAAGTTCAAGAATATTCTGGTTCTACATTTAGAACTTCAGTCTCTGTGGCTACATCAGAGCCCCCAGACGTCTAAAGTGATCTTCTTTCTCATACCTGTGCACTTGTGATTTGGAGTCTGGAAGGTTCCAACTCTACCAGTCTCTATGAGGACACATGGTACTGACTTTAGACAGAAGGACTTAGTGTTGCAGATATAATTTCTGCCAGGACAGGATCTTCATGCCACCTCTAGGTCCAAGTGGGCTAAAGGAAGCTGTAGACTCCAAACCCATGTCTCTGTTCCCTGCAAAGTTCCTCTTCCTGAGATGGGTCAGGCTTACTTCCGGTCTTGAATCTTTCTCTGAAAAGAGCCTGGTTCTAGCATCAGAGGGCCAAGACATATTGCCCCAACTAATGGGGTGCTCAGTAGCAATTGACTGAGGCCCAAAATCTCATCTGTAACATGAAGGAGTCCCCAGGACTGCAGGGTGGCTGGACCCCAGGTAGCCTCACGTGCACGATGTGCTATGCAAAGGCGTCTATTTTCTCACCTGGCCAAGTCAGGCCCTGCCTCCTGCCGCTCCCTCCAGCTGAGTTTCCAGCCTCCAGGCTTGGCTTCTCTATTAGTTCACTTAACTTTCACAACAGCCCTGCAAGGGAGAATTGCTGCTGCCCTATGCAGATCTGATACTTAGAGCAGTGAAGGGACTCACCCATACCCTCAGCCTGGGCACTAGGATTGGATTACTCTGCATATTCTCCACTGTCTGCAAGGCCTCTGTCCTCTGTCCAGAAATCCCTAAGAATTCCACATTAGTGTTTTTTCACCCTTCTTTTCTTCCTCCCTCTCTCCATCTAAGTGGCCAGTGACTGATGGGGTATCTACCAGGAGTCCCCCTAGTGGGCTGGCCATGGTGCTTTTGATTAGTGATTTGTCTGGATCCTTGGAGCAGGTGAGGAGGAGTAGGCATTACTGAAGGATGAGGGTGACAGAGCACAGAAGCGCAGTGAGGGAGGGCCAGGGTTCAGTAGGGAAGTAAGGGCTCTCTGCAGGGCTCAGGGAGGGCCAGGGGGACCACAGCTACATAGGAAAAGGGGCTTAGATAGCAACTTGGGAATGCAGTGAGGAGACTGAGCACACCAGAATATTTGTTTCTTGAGTGGCCCTGGGGCTTGAGGAAAGCCATGAACATCCTCTCCAGTTTCTCTGCTGCTTACAAAATAGGGGAAATATCCAAGGGACAGAAGCTGGGACATAACCCATCTGAGCTTCAGGAAGGGAGAATCCGCCCAGAATGGGGGCTGAGCCTAAACAAACCCTCCTCCTTTATAACTCTGGCCTTGGGCTGTCCCAGTCAGAGATCGGAATTCAGAGAGACGGAGAGGCAGGCACAACAAGTGTCAGGACTGAGAGCCAGAAGCAGCAGCAAGTGGCCCAGAGAGACAGGCCCTCAGGGAGGGGCCCATTTGAGCAGAGCCCCTACCTCCTCTGCTTGGAAAGGCAGCTGCTGTCCAGTGCCGCCACAAAGCATCGCCCAGTGATGACTCCTGACTGACTCCTGACTCTCACTGCTGTGGCTCCCTCTGAAGCCATCTCCAGGAGGCACCCTCACAGGCTTGCTCCCTCTCTGATAAACTTTAAGTTAACCTAGGGGCTGTAATTCACTGCACCCCAACAATCATGGGACCCAGGATAGGTAAGTCCATGTGAAGGAAGGGAGGACATCTGGGAGGTGATGTGCTGGGGAGGTGGCTTAGTTCTGCACAGAGTAGTCAGTCCTGGAACACAGAGAGGTTCTGCTGGGTGAGAGAAGAGCAGGAAGGAATGCTGTTTATGCAGCTGGAGGCAGTAAGCCCAGCCAACCCTCTCTGATGAGCCAGAGATCCAAAGACCTTACAAAGGCGTAGCTGCCCACTCCACATCAAGCTGGTCCCCGTGTGATGGAGACAGCATAGAGACAGATGGCAAGGCAGAGAAGAAGCCAAGGAGAGCATGTGCAGAGATACAGCAGGGACCAACAGGTGTCGGCAAGACAGTGGGCAGAGGGGGAGGGCAGCCCTGGATGGAGGGAGAAGCAGAAGATCATGAGTGTGAGCCAGAAATGTGCAGGGGCAAATACCCAAGGGGCTGATAGAAAAACTGCAGTCAGACTCCACAGGACCCATGCAGAACAGAGGGGTCTCAAAGACAGGCCTATAGATACCCACTTGGTGGATGGCGATGGGTTGTGAGGCGGCTGGAGGGGAAATGTCTGGAAGCTTCTAGAAACCAAACTTGGGAATGGGATAAAGAAAGCACGAAGCAGTGTGAGCGGTGGTTCTGTGAGCAGAGTGACAAACCCTCATACCCATGACAGTGGTAGAAGAAACAAAGGGTCTTTTAGATGGAGTGGCTAGGCTGGATGGCCGGCAGTCACCCTTGGCCTCCCTGTCTGCTGTGGTGTCTCACGCCCACTCAGGCAAGGCCAGGCTTGCTCCCAGGAGGCTGCAGTGAGGGCTGAATTCAGACTGAGGAGACAGACCCACCTGACTGAGGGACAGCCACAGCATGGGAACCCGAGCATGCCAAGAAGGGCCTGGTGGATGTTCCTCTCAGGGGGCTTCCCAGGTAAGAAGAGAAAGGAGAGAGTGGGGTCAGATTTGGGAGGGTGAGGCTTTGGTTTTGTTTGGTTTGGTTTTGTTTGGTTTGGTTTGGTTTTTGACACAGGGTTTTGCCATGAAATCCAGGCTCATCTCTAGCTTGCAGTCCTACTTTCACCTCCAGCATGCTAGAATCACAGGTGGGACCACTGCACCTGACATAGTGGGAATGCTTTTAAGGGGTGGATGAGCCATTGGCAAACCAAATTCCCAGTCAGTCTCGGCTCTGTACAAATGCAGATTGGAAACCCCATGGCTCAGGAAAACACAGCAGCCTGGATTCTGCACCTGCCTCTTCTCATCTGCCAGGACTATTTTTATGGCCCCTGTAAACTTTGCCTGGAGATCTCTAACTGCCCTCTGGCATACATACAACAGGAAGCTGATCCCAATGTCCACCACTGGGCAACAAGAAGCCACCTCTAGCTGTGTTTCCTCAGCCTCCCTCTGGGCTGTAGTTGTGTCCAGTTCAAGGAGTGGGAGGATAAGGGAGGGGATGCAGGTAGAGAAGGAGACAGAGACTCTCCGTTCAGGGCCAGATGAAAGTTGGCTAGCTATCCCTGCCACAGGCAGACACCAGAGTGGAATGAAGGCCAGATGTGACTCCCAGAGAGTCACCCTGCCAGCTTGCCATGTGCCTTTAGGCGACAGGCAGAGCTTTCTTGTCTGGGCAGGGTAAAAACTAATCTCCCTCCTCCAGTCCCACGATGGGATCCAGGGAAGCCACTCTCTGGCCATGGCACCCATGCTCAGGGAATCCCTGCCCACAGCCTGTTCTGGAGAACTTTGGTTCTTCCCACAACAACCTGGGGGCCTCCCAGCTGGAGGAAAAATCCATCAGCCATGCTGCTCAGCCCTCCTGTTCATCCACACCTTGTAGGTGTGGCCGTGTTGCTCTCTGTGGCCCTCTGTGTTCAAATTTGGCTCTCCCCTGGCAGATGGGTGAGTTGAGGGCAAGAACCATCAGCCATCAGTTTCTGTCTCAGCTCTGCCCCCAGGGGCTTTATGAGAACTCAGTGAAATGTTCTCACCTTTTAAAAATAGGTCCTCAGAGAGGGCAAATGACTCGTCCAAGGTTATCCAGCAAGTAAACAGGAAAGTACAGGCCAGAACACAGGTCTCCCTGATGTGGGGACTCTGTCACTTACCTGGAACTGCTTCTTCCCTCCGGACCACAACTGGTGAACTTTCACCTACCTTGTGCATGCTCCAATGACCACAGACAAAGCAACCTGTTCTTTGGATGCCACTGACTGGAGAGCTGACCTTGGCCACATCGTAGGCTGCCATGCAGTCACTGCCCAGTCTGCTCCTGTCCCTTCCTGGGACTCAGTTTCTCCATCTTGGCAGTAGGTGGTAAGGATAGTCACATGGTCCCTAGTTGTGCTTATAAGCTTGGTCTCTGGAGGGGGCAGTCGAAGAGGCCTCCCTGCAGGGACCAGTGGGCCTCTCACCAGCATGGGGGATTGTAGCATGAGGTGCCATGGGTACAATGTTGCACCCTCAAAGGCTGCAGCCCAGGCCTACCAGTGGTTCTAGAATGCTAGAGAAAGAGCCCACCTAAGCATGCTGGGAACTCCCAGGGATGAGCCTGATTTCTATTCATTCCTGAGGCTTTGGACCCAGTCAGAGCTATGCAGAGCTGGGATGATGAAATGATGCTCAGTGAGTAAACTGTATTCCATGTCCCAGGTCTCAGCTCTGTGATGTCCCTCTGAGGAGTCATAAACACAAATCCCATGAAAAAAAAATGCCAAAACCTGCCAAGCCTATGGCACAGGCCTGACATCCAAGTTATTCAAAAGGCTGATGAAAGAAGATTAATGCCCAGGGCCAGCCTGGGCAACCAGCTCAGTAGTAGAGTGCTTGCCTAGCATGTACAAGGTTCTAGGTTCAATCTTCAGGATCTCTCTCTCTCTCTCTCTCTCTCTCACACACACACACACACACACACACACATATGCACGCATGCACGCACGCGCGCACATACCAACCACACCCCAAAGACAGAGAAAGGAAAGGAGACTAAATGACAAGACTTAACAGCCTTCTCAATAGGAGGGAATTCATACATGTTACTGTAAACAGAGCCAAATGCATATGGTTGGAGCAGTCATAGACCCTAGAGAAGGACCTATTTCTGTCTTTTGCCTAGACCAATATAATTTCTTACTGTATTCTAAATACATGTCTTTATATTTACAGACAAGTGTACCTCTCATCACTCATCAAAGAAGCTTCTTGTCACAAAGATAGAGACTATTACAAAGTTCCACAACTTATTAATGCTATCGTTGCTTGACAGAATGTTGTGCAATGGAAAAGATAACACACACACACACACACACACACACATATGCACGCATGCACGCACGCGCGCACACACCAACCACACCCCAAAGACAGAGAAAGGAAAGGGAAAGAAATATAGAAAAAGCCAAAGTTTGAAACAGGCAGAAACAGCTGTAGAGCTGAGGAGCATGATCTGACTACAAGGGGGTAGATAGGGTTCCAAGGGGCATCAGCAAGGCTGGAACAGAATGTTCATTCTAGAAGGGCAAATGGACCTGGCATGTTTGTGGGCTCAGTGGGCAATCATATTGGGGGAGGAGTCACTGGGCAATATGTGGAAATTAAGCCAAAACTGATGGGCTCCATCACAAAGAGCTCGTATACCAAGTTAGACATATATACTTTGGTTTTGAGACAACTGGGAGCTATAGAAGGTATGTGAGGAGAGGAGTGGCCATTCATCAATGATCCAGAACATCTGTGTCCCAGGAATACTCATCAAAACCCCCACTCACATATGCAACAGTTTTATGAGCTCAAGTTAGTCTCATACCCAATAGGGAAATGATGAAAACAAAGCTAGGAGGAGCCCAGTTACCTGTCCCAGGCCATACAGCTGGTCAGCAGCAACAGAGGCAGTGGTACTCAAGCCCCTGCTGGAGTCAAGGCCTCAGTGCCTTCCCCATTCTCTGTCCTCAGAGTCACACTGCAGGCCCCCATGTGTCCAGTCCCTGCCTAGTGGACATAGACCCCAGGGGCTGACATCAAACGCCCTGGTCTCTGGTACTTGACAGCTCTAAGTCAGTCACTGGGATAACCTTGTGTGTGACAGCTGAATGTTACCAGGGACTTCAGACTCATGTTGTGATACAAGGCTGGATGAATGGATACCTTCCGATCTGAAGTCATTTCAAACAAAGAGTGAGTAATGAGCTGAGGGCCTGTGGAGGGGGAGGCCACATGGACTTGGGCCAATTGTTCCTTGTTTAGACCTAAGGAGACTGGCCTGCTTCCTCATGGGTTCAGGACGTCCCCCTCCCTATCAGGCCCTATTTTTAAGGTCATCGTGGGTCTAGATGGGGTAGTCAGGGCCAGAACTGGGAACAGAAAGTCCCAGCACAGGGTCCCTGACCCAACTCAGAAACCACCAGAGTGCCTGCCCTTCCCCCATCCTGACAGAGCGCCCTCAAGAAACAACAGCTGGACTTCAAGATCTGTTTTCTGGCTGACAGACCACCCAAGGGTCCTTTCAGAAGGAATTTCCCCAAAATGACAGCCAAGCCCAAGTCCTGCCTGGAGACACCCAGCCCCTACCGCTTTCTGTCTTTGACTCTTTCCTCTCCACAATGCTGGGCTAGATCATACTGGGAACTGGAGCCTTGGGCTCCACACTGCCCTACTCCATGTCGCTTTGGCAGCCCCCATCTATAGCCCATGTTATGGCCTTGTTTGCTCCCTTACTCAAGTGAGCTCGGTTCCATAGTGCACTCCTCAGCTGTACTCAGGCTGAGAGATGAGAAGAGGTTGACTGGGGAGGAAGGACAGTCAGTCAAGGGTACAGCACGTGTAAAGACTGAGGAGACAGAAAAAGTGTGATGAATTTGGGGAAACGGCAAGAATCTATTGGGGCCAGAAAATCATGTTCTTTAAGAGTGAGTAGATGAGAGATGAGACTCCTGAGGGCCTTGAACTTGAGACCAGGAGTCTAAACCACTGGTGTAGTAGACGGTTCAAGGAGAAGGGAAGAGCCGGCCACTGAGGAATGCTGACTCCTAGGTCCAGGGTGTTTGCTATGAGAATAGAAGTATGCTCTTAAAGAAAGGGAAACTGAGGCTTAACAAGCTGCCCAAGGTCATACTACTACAGTGTGGACAAAACAAATATTTGAATCCAAAGTCTTTTGCTGTGAGGGTTTCAGGAGAGACAAAACTTGATTATCCAGACAGAGGGATAGAACAGGACTGCTTTGGGGGAGTTTGCCTCCTAATCAGGTCGATAAGAAGAGAAGGACATAGTAGCAAGACAGAACTAGATGAACTGTGCTGTGTATAGAGAATGCCTCATGGAGGGACAGAGCCAGCCTGGGCTCCAGAGGTAAACAAAGGACTGCGAGCCAGAGGAGGCCAGGGCTACTTAACAAGGTAAGGCTCAGGTAAGGTTTAGTCATCTGAAGCTAGAGCTGTCCCAGCTCATGCCTATGGAGAGGGGTCTACCACCATCTTGAGGGATGGCTTACCCATCATCACTACCTGGCTCAGACTCTGGATTTGTGAGTGCCAGGGACTAGTAGCCTTTTCAGTGACTCAGATTCCTAGCCTTGACACTTGAAACATGGCTCCCCTTCCTTGCTGTTCTTGGTTGGGGCACAGGACAGGACCTTCTGTCTCCAGGAAGGTTTGGACACTGGTTTGTTACCTTGATCCTCACATGCCTCCCCAAACCCTAAGACATGTGTCTCCAGCCCACAACCATTCCTGGAGTTATGACCTCCTGGGGGATCCCCCTGAGGGCACATGTCTGCCACCTAACCTCCTGTCAATTGCTAGGCACACTATCCTGGCTCTCAGTGACCCTGGCTTTCCACAATGATATGCCAAGATGGAAAGCTGAGCCTCTCCAAGTCAGTGTCATCACCTGGACCCTACAGCCTCGCTAGCCTCGGCTCTGCCCCCTCCT